CACTCAGGGTCTGTATTGTAAGACTCTTCAGATGATTGCATTTGTTGTAGGTTTTATCATGTCATGAACCTAATGGCCTGTGCTCCTTTTATCCCGTGTTGTAGGGAATCTCATTTAGCTCTGGGAAATGAATGTCCAGGTCCAAATGCAGTATGAATAAAACCTATCACTGACATGCAGCCGCATATGAAATATGTATAAATAGTCACTGCATAGATCAAAATAGGTGGTGTACTTTTCCTACGTTGTCTTTACCTAAAGAGATATTAAGGTCAAAACGTTCTAAGCTATCCCAAATGCTGATTCAATCACTTGATGCTGCTTATTGATGTTTAAACATTTTAGTTTCCTTTAGAATCAGCTGGTCCCCTGAGCACTGGCCCTGATATCTTGTTTTAGTGTGCAGAGTTCTATGGAGCCACCCTTGTGTGTGCTAGTAAGCTGCGTGTGTCTAAATAAAATCTGCTGCTTGCCACGTTACAAAACTTGAGCCCACTAACCATATATGACAGTCCTGTGTGTGAAGCCACTACAAGTGTAGTTCCCTCACACACGGTCAGTCCCAGATAAACACAGCAGGACTTATGGGAGCCGCCTAGACCAGAGGCAGAGGTAAAGAGGAATGTGCGGGCAAGGAGAAACCTGCGGGCAATGAGGGAGGTGCTGGGTCCTCGGAAGGCGGCCGGCTAAATTGCCACTCCAAGTTTTTTTTTGCCTCTCTGCAGGCTAAAGAAAAAAACCCTGCTTACCATGGTACAAAGCTCAGGACTGGCAGGCCTAATAAATTCTTGTGGTGAACTGTTTCTGGGCCGCGGGCCTTGTAATTGACATATGTGTAAAAGGACAGCTGCTGGAGACCGCTCAGGAAGTTCAGGGGAGTTGAGAGAGTTGGAGCCAGCAATTTAGAAACATGATGACTGTAAAGGTGCCCATACACCTTACGACCATCGCAAGACTTTTGTCTTGCGATGGTCATAAGCTTATTAAAAGCTCGTACGATCTGCCCATCTTGGACAGGCAGATCGTACTTGCGATCATAGAAAGCCGGCCCCGCGCAGGGGCGGGCTTCTGATGACCGCAATGCTGAACAGGCACTGTGCGCATGCGCACACCGGCCCGTTCCGCAGTTGTCGAACGAGCAAGCTAGAAACCCGCCGAGAATCGTAAGATTCTCAGCGAGTTTTCTAGCCTGCTGGTTCGACAAAAGACGTGCGACCGCACAGTAAAAACGGTTGCACGCCTTCCATACACATTGCGATTATCATACGATCGCGGGATTTCCCGCGATTCTCGTACGATAATCGCAAGGTGTATGGGCAGCTTTAAGCTGGCCATACAGTATACGAATTTCAGCTGGTTCTTGATGAACAATCCCACGATCAGCTAATTGAAGGAACCGGTGGTAAAATTCTCGTATAAACGGAGTTAGCAACCCACGAGCTGCCGGCTCTGATTATTCTGACAGTGGCCAGCAGCTGCCGTCACAATACAGTGGAAACAACAAGAGCTTCCTCAATCAACGCCCTTAGTCATTGAGGAAGGAATCTGTTATCATTTCTTAATTCAGCCCACTGGTTGAACAAAGAAAATATTATAGTGTATGGCCAGCTTTAGTGCTTCAGCAAAAATGTAAAGCAATACTTTGCTGGGCAATGTATATTTGATCGGGATTCATTATTGAAAAATGTTTGAGAGTTTAATACTACTTTAAATATGTTTTTCTAATTGGAGCCCAAAGAGTATTCTCTAGCAAGGGAAATGTGAGGTAGACAACAACTAAAACAATTAGGTATTAACGTATTAGGGATGTCCTCTAGTTGTAGGGTTATCCTCCATTAAGACAAAATGGGTTTATAGGACTCTTTTGCTTTACTTCCTCATACAGTATATTATGGATGCAAAGGCAGCACTGCAGAGGCAACTAGATACTGCTCAAGCAACATACATGCACCCTGGAGCATTTTAGCTTATTATAAGCAACTTGCAAGCCAATCAAATTCTGCTCAAAGCAAAAAGCACACCACGTTTGATCTGAGTCTGCTGCTTGTGTACACAAACACTATCTCATTGTGGTATCTATTGAAGTCAGTCACGTAAGAACAGAACGTGAAAGATTTGTGTACAGAACTCCAGCTCATTATGATGAATTCTGCTGTGTTGTCGTTCAGGCTTTGCCATTTAGCAGTGTTAAAGGAGAACTATGAGGTGAGTGAAAATCACTCATCGTCATAGTTGGAGCCGACGTGTGACAATAAAACTGTCACATGTCGGCTCAATAGATCGGGAAGTGAGCGAACACACTGTCGCTCGCTCACTTCTCGATCATCTCCCTGCAAAGAGCGGGGACTGTCAGTCACGGCTCCCTGCAGGGATTCACCCGCTTTGATCCTGCAGCGCACTGGAGGAACGGATGGGGGAGGGGGCAGGTACAGCTGGCTCTGCTTCTAATCACCGCTCTCTGCAGAGAGATGATTGGGACGTGAGCAAGCGACGGTATGTGTTCGCTCCCTTCACAATCCATCCAGTTTTAATGTCACACATTGGCTCTAACTAACTATGAGGATGAGTGTAAAGTCTTCTTTAAGCAGCCCCATTCTTTTCAGCTGGTGTTCAATGCTGATATTTGCTAAAAGGGAATCTATTCTTGCTTTCAATAAACTATTTACGTTTTTATTTTGTTAAGTTAAAGGAGATTTTACAGTCTTGTACAATTTGAATTACAATATGCCTCCAGCCAGAAAAGGAATGACAGCTAGTATTATTGTATCTTGTTCACATGTACACTGGCAAAATAAAAGTTGGCTTCCTAGGGGTAACCCTTCCACTTTTCCCATTTGACCATTTGTAAACATACTCCAGTAATATTTGGCACCTTCTGTATTTATGGTTGGTTTGTCAGGTTGCCATAGTTTAGGCAGACTTAATACTCCCTCTTCCTGCCACCTACTGGAACGGCTGATACTTGTTATGGGCCTTATGCTTGAAGAGACAGAAAATATCTGCCATTAAAGTAGACCTTCGCCCCCTTTGACTAAAAATCACAGCTGAATGCTGATATGAAATCATCTTACATTGATTAGTATTTAATTACAATTTCTTTTTTACTACTTCCTGGTCCTCTTTGGCACAAATGATGTAATCGTGCCCAAGCGTTGCATCCTGGGAAGGTTATATCAGCAGAGCATTGCTGAGAAATCGCATCTGTAATGAGATATCAGGGAAAGGCATTTTCCTCCTTTAAAAATGATGTGCATGGTCACATGTGCCAGAGTTCCAGGAAGTAAAGGGAGATCTAGTAACCTGCCCTTAGTTAAAATGGCCACTGTGAGAAGACTGGGGAGGAAAAGCAAAATAAGGAATGCAAAGAATAAAACACAGGCAGCTATCTATAAGTTTCTGTTTGCCAATACAAAACATCTCTAAGGGTGCCTTTTGTTGATATTTTGAAGATATAGGTAAATCTTCTCTTTAAGCAGATGAACAGTAAAAGGAAGCAGCCAATTGGTTACAATGGGATAAACACACTTCTTCTGTCAGCTTACATTATAGATGAAGCCCAGGGTGCTGTGTAGGTGGTGGAACCCTCTTCATGTGAATGATCACCTGGGGTTGGTGGAAAAGCCTTTGATGTGGCTTTCCATGAACTGGGAAGTGGGAATAAGTTTAAAGCTGGTTTCTCATTAAACATTTGATTGACAGTTGATGCACTTTGCATTGCAGATTGTATTCATCTGCAGAGGTAATGTTCTGGAGTTGTACCGTTTTTCACTTTAAATCTCTCTTCTGTGATCAGGAAATTAGCATCATCACTATTATCTTCAGCAACAATTTCTATTCACTCTTCTTTAGCTGTATTTGAATGACACAAACAAATATGTAGCTGACACAAACAATATCACATGTAGCTGATTCCCAATGCCTGAGCTATTGATGTTAGCATTGTATTATATTTTTCAAGGACACTTGGAAAACTATGTGCGTTTTTTTTTTTTTTTTTTAAACATAGACCTTGTCGCACTATATTGTGGCATTTGTGTAAAACTTGGTTATCATTTTTCACATTTTGTTCAGTAAATGTCAGCTTGTGATCGCCATGTGGCAGGTGGTGGTGAGTCTTCCAAAATATGACAAATATGGCAGTCAAAATGTTTTTTTCTTTTAATATGCAAAATATTATAAGGCATCCTTGTGGTCTAAATAGCTTGTTTTGGCCAATTCCTAATTACGGAATTTTTCAGGTTCTGAAATTTAAAGCGGACCTTTACACTCAAAAATCAAATTCTTCCAATGCACCCCTCTATGTATGATGATTAATAATAACATAGACATGTCAGGTGTAAAATGCTGCGAAATTGAATACTTACACTTGCAGAGCATTCACTTCCTGCTTTGAAAGTGCAAATGATTTCAGTTTGCCAAAGCAATGCACACTGGGATTGCCTTGTCACCAGCAGAGCATTGCTGGGAAACCTCATCTGTTATCTAATGAAATCTCAGGGAAAGGCACTTTCCTCAACTGAGATGATGTGTATGGTCACATGTCCTGGTCACATGTGCCAGAAATCGGAAGTAATAGAAGATTTAGTAATCTGCCCTTAGTAAACATGGCCACTGTCCGAAGACTGGGGAAGAAAAGAGAAATAAGGTATGCAAAGAATACAAAGCCGGCAATTATCTAGAAGTATGTGTGTGTAGATTGTTAGTACTAAACATTGCTAAAGGTGTGTTTGTTGTTATTTTAAAGATATGGGTAAAGGTCCGCTTTAATGAGAAGCAGCTGAGATCAGCATCAGAGGTAACCAGGAGCCACTTGTCATTCCTGAGCCGCTGTTTGGTTGCCTGTTTGCTGAAGCATAGTAACCAGTCATTTTCTACATAACTTCTCCAGGACAGTTAACAAAATGAGCCCTCTTAGTGGTGTGTGGGTGATAGAAACCTTTCATAGAATAACAATACAACAAATCATTTCTGACATATCCTTTTTCTTTTTCTCTTTCTAGGTGCCATGGACAGGTAACAGAGACCCTCGGTCAGTTCCTGGGGTAGACTGTCATCAACAGAATGACTGAGTGCTTTCTGCCTCCCACCAGTAGCCCCAGCGAACACCGCAGGGCAGAGCATGGCGTGGGATTGGCTCGTACACCTAGCTCTGAAGAAATTAGCCCGACTAAATTCCCAGGTCTATATCGCACTGGAGAGCCCTCGCCTCCCCATGACAACCTCCACGAGCCTCCTGACATAGTCTCTGATGATGAGAAGGATCATGGCAAGAAGAAAGGAAAGTTTAAGAAGAAGGAGAAAAGAAGTAAGTTCTAATCTATCTCTATCTTCCTATTACAATGACCACTGCAGCACTAATGGCCAGGGGATTCACATGCATTAAAAATATATTTCCACACAAAGCCAAATTTTTCTACTAAAGTAAATATATATATTTTTAGTCTTGGATAGAGAAGGGAAAGGATTATAACTTCTGTCAGGTATTAACTGCTGCCTCTGTCATTGTTGAGGACATTTCCCCTCACCTCTTGTCCTGGTGACACAACAAGATGTAAGAGAATCTCCAGAATACATGCAGAATACAATAACAACTTGGCACAGGTCCTAATACTTCACTACTCTGTCCAAGACTATAAACGTTTTGCCTGATGTTCTGGTTTAAGACACTGAATGATTTCCATTGGTCAGATAACAGCATGATAAAGTATAGAAAGAAAGTGAAATATGATGACATATTCCAATTTGATGCAGTGCAACGGCCGCTGTAGATATCCACTACAAAATGTATGTAAATCATATAAAGTGTCTATGAATTTAAAATGCATACTGCCCACCTAGTTCATTTGTGGTTGTACAAACTGATGTATCTGTTGTGCCCTAAAGAAGTAGCACACCAGAAGCTCAGACTTTTCTGATACAGAGTGTCTGCCACCAGCCCGCATGCTAAAATGGGCATTTATCTTCAGGAATTTGAATGCAGGTGAGCAATTCCAGTAAGAAATGTAACTCTGCAGTAAACATTGCCAAACTCCTTGCATAAAACCGACACCGAGATTGTGTTTATTTTTTTTTCTCAACAAAAAGGGAATTACGCCTTTAAGCCTAAATGTATTTAATTATGCTACTTATAACATTTTGTACTCGCACTATGTAAAACAAAATATCATGGGATAACAGTATGAGTTGCTGCTACAGAAATATTGTAGAAATGTGCACAGCTAGTATGTTTGCAACACAAGTAGAAGAAACAACAATAAACTGGCATCTTTAGGGAAACCTCATATAAACAGATGGATAGAATGAGGCTGACCCCTCCCAAATGATGTGGCAATGTCCACCCACACTAAGCCATACATCACTCTCGTTCCTTTCTGTCAATGGCTTATAGTCATCCCTAGTGTTCTGAGGAAAACACCCGAGTCCAGACTGTGTTCTCTTTCTCCATTCTGCTACATATTCTTTATGTTTATGTGGGGGTTTGTTCTAGACATGGGAGAAGTGTGTTGTTTCTCTTCTTGTGACATGCTGTATGGAAATGCAAAGTTTCCTGCAGTAAACCGGATTTATAGCTGATGCCATAATCAGAGGTGCACACAGGGTGTAGTCTGTGTTTGAGGCTGCTTGCCCTTATTTTTAATGGCTGATTCATTACTGGGGAGGACAGCTCATAATACCTTTACGTATAACATCACTCACTTATTTAAAGGCTTGAAGTGACTAGCCTTTCTCTTTTATATGTTTGTTGTCTTTGCAGTGTATATTGCATTATGCCAGCCATATAGCCATGCTAGTCATCAGCCTTTCTTGAGTCATGACCAGCACAGTTACTTGTCTCCAATGATTTGTTGGTCTTTAGGGGGCTAATTATAATATTCAATTTATTACACAATCTCTCCTGATTTTAAGGTAAAAATTACAGTTGGAAGATGCTGATGACTTGAAATGTTGCTTTGCCTGGCTGTTGCACTGGCATTCTTAGTTCAATTATTTGCATCACCAACCCTGAACAAGTATACATATCAGGAAAGTCTAAGAAAAGTCAGAAATCCTTATTTCCACATTTTGTTATTGACTCAAACTATTGAAGCAAGAGGGTCAATGTAAGAGCCAGACAGCTAGCATTTTTAGAAGTAGAGGTCAGCAATGGCAGCCTGTTTATGTTTCTCACATGATGGGTTTCTGCTAATGGTAACTGATTTGGCTGGTTGACAGGTTCTTGAGAACAGAGAGTGAGACCTTTAAAGTAATTTTCTCCGTAGCAGTTATGCTTTGAAAGAAAATTCTGTCCATCTTTGAAAATGTAGAATTTGATGGAGTTTTGGGTGTTGAAAAGTTGACTAAAGATACTTTTACTTTTTTCATGTTCAGTAATTTTTCATTAAGTTTTAAGAACAGAAAAAAAAAAATCAAGTACATGACCAGATCTAAACATATTTATATATAAACGAATGCACAGTGTATGACAACAGCACTGATTACACTGTAGTCCATAGAAAAAAATATTGCACATAAAGGTCTAGTCAGATGCAGGAACCTAGATTGGTACCTAATAAATGCAATGAATACTAGGGAGGAAGAGAAAATGAGGGAAAAGAAAGGGTAGGAGGAGAAAAGAGAGAGGAAGATTTTACCTTGGGTAGCCTGCAACACGATTGCGCAATTTACTCAAGATCAGAGAATGAGGATCAGAGGATGGTGGAAAAAAATGATGTATCCACGGCTCCCATATGTTTTTAAATTTGGCCATTTGTATCTGTTAGTATTGCCATCAGCTTTTCTTTAGAGAATGTCCAATGTAGTTTGACTTCAGCTATCGAGAGGGAGTTTGTTCTCCCGGCTTTTGCAATGGTTTGTTATGTAGCTGTGAAAACATGTCATAAGTTTAAACTGAAAGTCTGTCCAGTTGGAGATTGAGGAGTGCCTCATTCCGGTTTTTAGCTATGTTGCTGCCCATTTGGACAGGACATCCTAAAGACTTGCATCCACAAGTCCACCATATGTGCAGAAAGGCTTCCCTGACGAGGCAGCCATGGAAACAGTTCCCTGTGTGTCCAAGAACAGAGTGTTCAAGACGACTGGGCACTGTGTAACAACGATATGACTGTGTAATTGGCTTCTAAAGCTTGCACATTTTGTAAGCAGGATTTAGTGGTGCTCTAGATTTGGATCCATGGTTCAGGTCCAAAGGGGTATTGAGATCTGCCCTAAATTTTATGTATACTGTACTTGTGATTCAGTGACACAGGCCCACTGACAAGGGAACCATATTGCAAGGAGAATAGGGGTCATCTTTACATTTACATTCAAAGAGTGTCAAGGTTGCCCCATTAGGGGGTAAAAATTACTTTTTTGTGTATATTTGACAAACAAAATCCCAGTCCTTCCTTTTTTTTAATACAGTTTCCTATAAAGAGCTTCTTATTTTGGAATCCTATCGAGGGGAGAAGACACCTTGACTGATTCTGTCAATTTACACCTACAGAGGTGCAGATTGGTTGAGAAGGGCCTTATCCTCTTCGACTTGGTTACAGAAACTTACGTTCCCCTATCTGTTATGATGTGACAACAGTCTCCCAACTCCCTGTGTTGCCATCCTGTCACATGCATTGCCGGAAGAGACTACAGGCAGTTGCTCTGTCAACACACATTGCACAAGCATGGCCCACTGTCCAGAAAGCTGGTCCAGAACAATGATTTGCAGCCGATGCTGAGTGCATCAGCTGCAAATCATTGTGCAGGACCAGCTTTCTGGACAGTGGACCATGTATGTAGACAGGGAAGAGCCTAAACACAATGGAGGAGATCAGCAGCACTGTGGTAACAAAGGCAGAAAGAAGTTAAAAATAAAAAAACATGGCAACTGTTTATCATACCATGTAAACCAGTTAGGATTTGCATCTAGTTTACAGTCTCCTAATGTTTTCCACCAATTAGACTTGCACATTCCAACTGAATATTTAAACCATAAATCCCTAAAGATAATCTGCATGAAGAGGATTTTATTTTCTAAGCTTAAGAATAAAGTCTTTTAGTGAGATGTCATGATGTTTTCCACTTCTATTCCTCTGAGGGTTGGCTGTGTCTTAGGGTCTCTTATGTTTGGGGACCTGCCCCCGTTTAGTCCTATTTGCGGATCTATTCTTTATATTCAGCTGTTGTTTTACAAACATAATTTTGTATTCATTAATAATATTTCCAACAGTTACCAAAATCAGCATGACCCTGCTGTGTTCAGTACATGTCAGTGAGTCACCTGAATGCTGAAAGCTGTATTTTTAGCAGAGCATATCTGGGAATTGCATGCATTTATATGCCTGCCGGATTCATTTTCCATATCATGCTGGTATCCAAAGGTTCTGTGTTTTTAATCATTTGTATTCTGCCTGTTGGTAGCAGAATGCTATCATAATTGTTTATGGGCCCCAAAGCTGTACTCTGTGAGACAGAAACAATGCAAAATAAAGAACATCTTTTTTTTAAAATATCTTCCATTTTATTTGGCCACTGTAAAAAGCAAATCCCTTTTCCTTCATTTGTGATTATTCACTCGAAGGGATGTGTGGTGGTTTTGTACAAAATTTCTTTATATGGTCATATTTTAGAAAAATATATTTTATCAAGTCAGATAAATTTGAAATATAGCATATTAATATTTTTCTTACGGGTTTTCAGCCAGAAGGAGCCTTTTCATGTTTTAAAGCTTTTTTTGAGAGACACATGGGAACGGTCATTGCCAGTCGCCTTCTGCTTTGTCTGGCTGCGTTTTATATGCTTGTCCCAGGTAAGGGAAACATAACTTAAAACAAGAGGATGAACATGACAGGCAAGAAAGTTGCATTTGCAGAATGAAAAATAGCAATGGCAGCCTCCATGTCTCTCTCCTGAAAGGTTTCCTTGATTGAAAAAAAGCCAGTTTATATGTGTGGGGGAAAAAATATAAATATCTATATACTGTGTATGTATGTATGTATGTATGTATGTATGTATATATGTATGTATATATATATATATACATATACAGGGAGAGAGACTCCTTATTCATTTGAAAAAGTAATATAATAAAAATAAAAAAATGCCCCAAAAAACATTCTAGTCTTTGTGTGTGTGTGTAATCTTATATAACATTGTAACCATGTTCGCAATGTGCTCTGTTCCAGCGGAAGGTTATGCTGCCTTTCAGGAGGACAGTTCCGGTGATGAAGCAGAAAGCCCGTCCAAAATGAAGAGATCCAAGGGAATCCACGTATTTAAGAAACCTAGCTTTTCCAAGAAGAAAGAGAAAGACTTTAAAATAAAGGAAAAGCCTAAAGAAGAAAAGCACAAGGAAGACAAGCACAAAGAGAAGAAATCTAAGGATCTGACCGCCGCCGATGTGGTAAAACAGTGGAAGGAGAAAAAGAAAAAGAAGAAACCCACGGCAGAACCAGAGCTGCCTCCTGTAGATGTGCCCAGGCTGCGGCCAGTGTTTGGAATCCCACTAGCTAAAGCTGCAGAACGCACCATGATGTGTGATGGGATCCGACTACCGGGAGTGTTCCGAGAGTGCATTGATTTCATAGAGCAACATGGAATGAAATGTGAAGGCATCTATAGAGTGTCAGGTATGGTGAGCTAATGGCTTTACTTTATAGTGTCTTTCTACTGGGCCTTTGGCAGTGTTTTAAGAAGGAGTTGTTTGTGGTGCCCATAGCAGTCTGTTGTATTGGATTTGGGAGACGTAAAGGAGTACATTTGGCTATCATGGATAACAGCTGTGCCTCTTTCAGAAGCTTTTATGTAAGACCCACTGAGTTATGGACCATATTACTAGAAGATAGCGGTTTCTAGTAGATTATTTGCTCACTGGATAGATATTGTGACTTTTCTTTTTTATGTCATAGCCATGTTAATTAATGGTTTTTACTCCAGTTAGGGGCAGAACAGTGATTTGTAGTGGGGAGAGCCTGCAGCTGGAGTCTTTAAGAGATATAAGAAACCAGCCACGCCATTGAATTAGTACCATTGGCTTCCTTAAAGCAGACCTTCACCCTCCTTTTCCACTTCTAAAGAAAACAGCCCACATTTCCACCTTTTTCACATCAGGGGGTTGGCTGCAAGAACATTGAAGAGACAGCCAGCTCCCAATTAGGGCCGCACGCGACCCAGTGTGCAGGAACAGATCATAACATAACGCTGCTGGATTTGCTAGGTGTGTGAATAGTTTTATTGCAAATAACACAGCAAAAAGGTAAGAGGAGATTTAAAAGAAAATACTTAGAGGTGTAGTTCCCATTTAAACTAATTGCTGAGTGGGAGGGTCTGCCAACTATCATCACCGGATCAGTCCCCAAAGTTGTATTATGGGGACTGAAACAACAGCCCTGTTTGTTCACTATATATCTTAAAGTAGAACTGTGGTCATGATATGGACATTCAACTGTTTATATGTTCTTAAACAGTAAATAGGCTTTAAAACAAGCCCTGACTGACCTCTCTACCTGCAGATGATATGGAGAAATTCATCCTCAAAATTCTCTAATAGATCCAGTGAAGGCATTCTGCACTCTCCCCTATTTCTGTGCTCCTGCATTACATTGCAGATTATAAGGATGTAAAACTGCTGGAAGGAGGGGAACTAAACACGTGTATCACGTGTAGTGAGGGAAAACAGAAATTAAAAGATTTTTTTTTCATAGCGTTGAGGATGAATTACTACTTGGTGCCTTCAAATACAGATGTCAGTGAGGGCTTGATTTAAAGTATTTTTACTGCTTGGTAAGAATATGTAAATAGTGAATGATGAAAGTTGGGATGCCTGAAATTTTACCTCAGGCTCTGTGCAGGTTAAACCATAATCTAATCATAAGCAGGGCATGAGATTTGGTGTTTTGTAGACAGGGTAATGTTGCTGTGAATGAAAGTGATAGTAAGCAGTTTTAGAAAGTCATAATGGTTGCGGGTTGAAATAAAAACACTTTTTTTTTTTTTTTTGCACAATAGTTTCTATTTTTTAAGAATAAAATGTAATTATGCAAACAAAAGAGGTGCACAATGTTTGGATAGGATAAAAGAAAAATGACGCCACAAAACCATAGGAGATAAGTAATTGTATGTATAAAGAGGTTCATCATTATTGAAGGTGGCACCAGGATGCTAAAGTCTCAAATATTATGTAGGCCAAAATGTATAAGCAAGAAAAACGACATGGGAAAGAGTAAATTCACGGGTTTGTACCATCAGATAGGGAAGTCATGTTTACCATGTGTGGACCCTGGATGACAAAATGATTTTTATGTAGCAGATATCTTGTTGAATTAGATTGTAATTAAATTGCAGTTTTCCAGTAAGTCAGTCAAGCTTATTAAAGACATGCAATAACTCATAGCAGCCAGTGATATTTTACTAGGTATTAATCTAATTACAGAAAGCTTATTGGTTGCTTTGGGTTACTGTTTTGTTAACCTTTAGTCATTGCACTTCTTTATTATATCCGAGCAATATATTTTAATCCTTTTTCTGTTCTCAGGAATCAAGTCAAAGGTTGATGAGTTGAAGGCAGCCTATGATCGGGAGGAGTCTCCAAATCTTGAAGACTATGAGCCTTATACAATTGCCAGCCTACTGAAGCAATACCTGCGGGAGCTACCTGAGAATGTGCTCACCAAAGACCTGCTGCCTCGATTTGAAGAGGCTTGTGGCAAGAGCTCTGAAGCTGAAAGGCTGCAGGAGTGTCAGCGCCTGTTAACAGAGCTGCCAGAATGCAACCTTTACTTGATTTCATGGCTGATAGTTCACATGGACCATGTCATAGAGAAAGAACTTGAAACTAAAATGAATATACAGAATATTTCTATTGTGCTCAGTCCAACTGTTCAGGTACTTATCTATTTCATCAATATTTCCTGTATAAATTGTGTCTCATTCAGGCTGATAACAATGCTGGAATGTGAGGAGCCCTAACCTAGAATGTTCAGATACACTTTCTTACAGCACACCCAAATTAAACAGTGGGTTCAATTAAGTGGAATTATTCTTCATGGGCCTACGTTATATGTACTGTGGGCCGCACCTACTTAATTCCAGAAAGCAAAGATCATAGCAATTCAGTACTTAAAAGTTGCGGTTGCTACTATAGTGTAAAACTTTTGTCTCCGAGAAAGGGGAGCTGTAGTATTAGCTGGAGAAGTGAGAAATAGCTGGGGCTTCATTCATTTATTTTTTGCTACCACCGAGGGCTGCAAAGCAGGTCTGCTGGTCTTACAGGTTACTTAAACTGCCTCCATTTCATGGATGATGGATTTCTACCTGAAGGAGACAGATTTTTCAATGACCAGATGTACCATTACTGCATCAACGGAAGAGAGATAAAACTCCACTTTCAAGCAAGCTTGTGCACATTCAGGACAAAGCAACATGTTTGTTGTAATCTCTCTCTTACTTTAAGCATATACTAACCTTTCCTTCACACTCTCGCTGCTCTATTAAGCGTCTGAAATACCTGGTACTTCTGGGTATGTAGTAGCATTCAATGCACTCCATGTGACAGCACTGGGCAAGTCGGCAGTTTCTAACCCTGTATAGCAGGGGTGGCCAAACTCCGGCCCTCCAGCTGTGGTGGAACTACAAATCCCATGAGGCATTGCAAGATTCTCACAGCCACGACTCCCGGAGAGAGATGCATCATGGGATTTGTAGTTTCACCACAGCTGGAGGGCCAGAGTTTGGCCACCCCTGCTGTATAGGGTACAACTTTATCAAGCTGTAGCTTACACAGGACTTTCCTTTTGCTTATGGTGAAAGGTGGGATACTGAAAGGACAGTAAGTGTATGTGTCTGTGGAGATCCCCATAAATGAACCTGCTGCTGTGCCTTACATTGGCAAAGCCCAAGATCACTTTTTTTTTTTTTACACATTGATTATAGCTTGTTTAAGAGCAGTGTGTACAGAAAACTGTCATCCAGCTTTAAGCAGCTTTTTCAAAATCTTTAAAGCACCATTCAGCTTAGTTTGGGGATGTTAAACGGAGATCATAATGAAAATGCTGTCACTTTAAACAACTTTAAATGGGAGTGCTACAGCATTCTAGAAGCCTGTGGATGGCTAATAGCAGCTGCAAAGTACACAGCCAGTATCTCCAAATAGGGAAGGTCCTCAAAAGTTATTGATAGGTCGTTGATGATTGACTTTGCCAATATCTACCCATATCTGAGAAGTGGTAGTGTGAGGACTTAGAAGTGAGATTGGGAAAATGGTAGTTCCATGACTTTTTTTTTTTTCTTTCTTTGTCTTTCAGATCAGTAACCGCGTCCTATATGTATTTTTTACAAACGTTCAAGAACTCTTTGGAGGCATAGTCATTAGGAAAGTGATTAAACCTCTCCGTTGGTCTAATATGGCCACCATGCCTGCACTGCCTGAAACACAAGAAACCATTAAAGAAGAAATCAGACGACAGGTTGCTCCTTATTATTTATGGGATCCTTTGTATAGTTGTATGCACTTTTTTTCATTCATTTCCTAAATGCGGGGAAAAAGCTTACATTTGAGTACAGATGAGTTACAGAAACCAATGTCTATTGTGTGTGAAATATTTCTCCTCTCTTCCTCTCGTGCTGACAATCATTTCACCAGACGGAAAGTAAGGCAAAATCTGCAACAGGGACTCAGACAGAAATACAAATCCGATATGGATTCCTGCCTTCAGCAACTCTACTAAAGAAAATCATTTTTGTTTCGGTCTGTTTCTGTTGGAGAGTTACCCTCACTTCCTGTGTGGTAAAACATTGTCAGCGGGACAGGAAGTGAGGGGAATCCCCCTTAATGAAGCAGTGGATAGCAGTAAAAATCTAACCCTTCCTCACTCTGTCCAAAACTAGGGAAAAATGTTTTGGCTGGACACACTTTGAGAATGGACTGCACCTCAGTGCACAAAAAAAGGACATTATACCACATTGCTTCATTATGTACACTGTGCTGTACAATCCCTTTCCAATATTGCTCCATGCCGCCCTGCAATGTAGAATACATGGGCTGCAGGAGACACGAGTATAACAGCTCTTCTCTTGCAGCACCTAGCTGGGTCCGTTTAGTGGTCAACTAACAAAAATGTGGTATAGTCATAGCAGTAAAACTAGCTAAAGTATAACTAAATGCAAAACGTTTTAGATTTGGATATAGTGGTGAGGGGCTAGAACTGTCTGTGTCCCTGTTAGGGAGATTCACTGTCTCTAATTGTCTTGATCACCAGTGTCACTGGGAATTAAAGTGAACAGGAATAGAAGCGAAATCATCCAATGAGGACCCTTGTTCCCAAAACAAGGGATATCCCTTGCATTGCAAAGATATCCTCTAACTTCCTGAAATCTCCCTAATAAGACACAGATGGCAAAATAATAAAAAAACTGACATTGTCTATCCAAAATGAAAACAAAATGGTGTTCGATATCACAAGACCTCACAAAATGTCACAACAGGCTTGTGTGTACAGCCACAGCTAGAATCCAGCTGGGTTATAAAGCATTTTTAAATATTGGCATTTGCAGTGAACATAGTTTCAGCACTTCCTGTTCTTTTTGCCTGCAACAAAAGCACAAACGTATAGCAAGAATTGTTTAGATGGATATACATATGGACCATGACTTTTAGCTGGCCATACACTGTTCTATGTTTTGTTTAACACACAGGCTAAACAAAAAAATAGATCAGTTTCCTCCATCAATGCTTACGAGCGTTGATCGAGGAATCCCCGCTGGCTCATTGACTGCTTGCTCTGTCCGTTCAAAGATTCTCCGTCCGCCTCCTTTGATCAGCTGATAGAGGGTTGCCGGTTGAAGGGTGTCGACAGCCACTCAAGAACCGGCCAAAGTTCGTACCGTGTGGGACCCCACACACACTATTAAACACACAGATGATGTACTTATTTTTCTGTTTTACCTGCAAAATGTAAAGTCAGGTCATCTTTTCCTGTGATTTCTGTGACGCTGCATAGCCTTGCACCTGCCTGGCTCAGCTCCCTGTTCATTGGACAGAAGTGATGATGCTGATTCCTTGTTGAATAAGCAGGTTAGAGATGGAGATGTGGCATACAAAACTACATTGCTAAACCAAGAAATAGATTTCCTAGCTTTGTATCTATGCAGTGTGGTGGGGCTGCATGAATATTTACATGCTTGGTGAAGCAGAATTACAAATCCTTTAGTGGATCAACTTTTACAGTTATGTATTTCAAACTTGTATTTTTACCTGGAGCTTTAATGATCTAACAAGGGTACAAAACCCCAAAAACCCCAGCGCACCTGACAGCTAGCCTGCAACAAAACAAATTGCCCTGTCAACAGTATGCGTTAAAAACAGAGGTTTTAGTTGCACAAACTTTTGGCCAAAAATATGTAGAAGCCACACTGCCGCGCCAAGGCACCTCTGTATAGTGTGGTCTTAACTCTATCTATATGAGTCTCCAAGTGTGAGCATATTAATGCAGTCAATAGATTGCATGCAGGTGTACCAAGAGGTAGCCTACTCCTCCTTATAAGGTGCAGGGATGCACTGGAGACCGAGCAAGCAAAAATGCACGCTGGGACTCCAGTGCGTCCCCACATCCAAAATAGTCAAACTCGAAAAACATGGTAACCGCATGAATCTATACCAGCCTTTATAGCAGGGAGCACATTGGGAAGGCTTACAACAATACAAAACACAAATTCCCCAGCCTCAACCTGCCAGCCAGCTTGCAACCAAACAAATTGCCCTGTCAACAGTATGCGTTAAAATCAGAGGTTTTAGTTGCACAAACTTTTGGCCAAAAATACGTATAAGCCACACTGCCGCGCCAAGGCACCTCTGCAAAGTGTGGTCCTAACTGGAATAACAAGGGCTCAGAGTTTTTTTTTCCCTTTAGTCTCTGGTGCCTCTCTTCCTGCTTCTGCAGTGGTCCTAGGTCTGTGAATCATCACGTCTTATACAGTACATTGTGTATAGGATGTGAGGACAGCAAGGGACATTCCATCACATCAAAGCATAAAATGACATTTCTAATGCTGTCCCTTCTTTTCCAGGATATACAGCTGTCTTAAAGGTTTTGTTCTTACCAAATTTCAAACCAAAGTGCTTTTGTAAACTATTAAATTCATTAGTATAATTATTACAAATGTCAGACCAACCCAGAACTGATATTTCAGGCTTGAGCAAGCAGAAATCCATGGCTCTTTTTTGTGTTTGTTTTTTGAACACCCGAGTGGCTCATGTGCAGCTTACTGTTGTTTGGAATGTATTGTGACAACATTTTCTTGTATTGCACAGGAATTTCTCTTGAATTGCTTGCACCGAGACCTTCAGGCTGGCATTAAGGATCTCTCTAAAGAAGAACGGCTGTGGGAGGTACAGAGGATCTTGACGGCTCTTAAAAGGAAGTTGCGAGAAGCTAAAAGGCAGGTGTGTGACACTCATAGGCTTAGCCTATCCGCTTCATTAAGCATCTTAGCAACCGGCATGCATAATAGTACAGAATGGACAAGGCTCACCCTTGTATGGTTCTTGGCTGGGGCCCAACATGCTGAATTAGTCAGTCATGTGATTTGTTGGACTTCACTTGCCAAGAACAGCTGCACCCATTTCACATATTATCTTTTGCCTAAAGTACATGGTCTCTCTTTTTTTTTTCTGTGCTGTTGATGCCTTTATCCTCCAGCCAATGGATTTATGAACCAACTTCTTGCTGTTAATTGCACAAGGCTGTAGTTAAATAGCAGCAAAATATTTTAGTCTCTGTTATTGTTGACTTAAACTTGTGCCAAGTTATTTATTCTTCCGAGAATAATATGGTTGAATATGACTCTGCCACAATACATCATGCTAGACAAGAATAACTGGTTACTGGTACTCTGTGGACATGCTTATTATCCACATCAGATTTTACCTACCAAAATAACAGCTTAACTTCAAGCAGTTTATTGCCTGATGAAACCAGTGATGACATCATTACAAGTTTGCAGAGAACCTGTGTTGTTGGAAGGGCTCTCCCTACGTTTCATGGTCTGCATCTCTTAATAAGCAAATTTTTGCAGTAGCTTGAGCAGGTTGTGAGTGCACTTACCTATTACAGGAAGGGGGTTTGACTGGGGGTACAAAGAATGGGGGTTTCACACAGTGTGTCCACCAACTGTAGCAGTGCTGGTGGAATCCCGACAGTGCAGCCTTTACAAAACTGCAATGGGCAGTTTTAAGACTGAGTGCCCTTTGCAAGTATAGAGTGCAGCGATGACCAGTCATCCTTACAAAGAATGCCTCCACCGAAGAAATCTGCAGGCATCTATGTGGCTGGATTTATGGACATTGCTGGCACATACCAAAACATAGTCAAACATTCTCATGTTGGGCTCTTGCCCTCCCTCTAGCTGTGATACGCCTTCCTTTTGGCTTTTAAGTGTGGCCGCATTAGCCAGAGGGATCGAACAGGGGACAGGCCAATGCAGCCATACCAGCTCTGGTCTCTGTTGCATGGAGACATTTTAATCAAGGATCCAACACCAAAAGGCAAATGTAGCCTCTGTTTGGCCTGATATTAGAAGCTGTATCTGGTAAATGGTAGTAAATAAACTGATTATTAGTCCACGCCATTATATCCAGATTGTTCCTGTCTTGCATTATATGTTTGATGTGACTGATGAGGAAGAGGCAGAATTAAAGCCTAAATATTTATACCTAATTGGCTCTTTTTCAGTTTCATATCCAGTGTCTTTTCTACTTCTTTAGGACTGCGAAACAAAAATTGCTCAAGAAATTGCCAGCCTTTCTAAGGAAGATGTTTCCAAAGAAGAAATGACTGAAAATGAAGAGGAGGTCCTTAATATACTGCTTGCACAGGTATTTCTGTGTGTACACCCTGCAAGCAGCTGCCATTTTAACTTACCCTACAGTCTAGTCTGTGCTGAGATTCCCAGGGTGGTTTTTGAATAAAACTTGTGTCATGTGAAATAAGGAGTAGGCTTTTTGAGTCCCCGAGCATGTTTTTTAGTCAGAGTTAGATCAGAACTCCGCATTTGCATATTGTTACAGGGCAGTGACCAATTAAGCATTGAATCCATAAGATTACCATTTAGACGACTAGCATTTTTAAAAAGAGAGGTAAGCAGCTTCCAAGTTTCAGCACAACTACCTACCACCCCAACCCCCCCCCCACCCCCCCCCATTAGAAGATTATGTGCTGGCAAGTACTACCATGGGGCAAGCTCATTTTGGTTTTAAAGTGCCCATGATCTCTCCAACTTCCATAATAGACTACAATCTCAATACAAATTAGTAAACTAAACATGATGAGATTGGAGTCCATTGTGGTAGTGAGCTTGGAGCGGTGGCTACTTTACAAGACACACAGGGACCATGGGGAAGAAAAGTAGCCACCCTCCAGAAGGAAGGACAGTGTCAGCAGAAATTCAGAGATGATTTGAGGATCTACAGCCGAGTGATTCACAAATAAGATACATTTCTATTAATAGTTAAGGTACTTGAATGTATTTTTAAGATTCAACTTCTGAATTTAATGTCACTTCAAAGCAAAACTGCAGGCTCTTGCAAAGTAGTAGACTCCCCATGAGATTCCACTGCAAACACCTCCAGGGACTTGATTTGCAAAGCGTGCATGTGCTGCATTGTCACACTATGACCCACCCCTTCCCATCCTTCTAGCCTCCTTATTGGCCCATGGACCTGCCTATCACACTTACTGGCTATAGGGAAACCAGAAGTGTGTTATCATGAAAGCTCTGGTTCCTAGGTGCATATCATGGAGTCCCCTCTTTTGAGGGTATGGGGGAGCTTTGGAAGTAAAGTATACAGGCGGTGCATGAAGCATAATAGCATGGACTGCTTTCTATTTTGCAAGAGCCCATAGGTAAACCTAAAAACGGCTATGAATCTTATATCCTAGAATACTCATCAAGTATAACCAAAGTAGGATTTTGCTCACGCCAATAAAACAGGTTTTGTGGATATGTTCTGGCTTTGTTCTTGCACTGACCAGTTCTTTATCTTATCAGGAAAATGAGATCTTAACAGAACAAGAAGAGCTAGTGGCAATGGAGCAGTTCCTTCGGCGTCAGATTGCAACAGAGAAGGAAGAAATTGACCGCCTCCGCGCAGAAATTTCTGAAATTCAAAGGTTGTTATATGGTTCCCATGATAAGCCCACCTAAAGTATAGAAATCCACACAAGATGTATTTTACACGGGATAGGGGATTTTCATGTAGTACCGTGGGAAGCATGAGTTGCAGTATATAAGGGCATTATTTTTGTAGGTTGTAGATCAGGGTCTATAAAACGGTACACATGTATAGGAGTATATTTCTACTACATGTGAATAGTCTATAGCATGGTGTGGAAAGTGGGCAACAATTAGATACTGAATGCTGTCTGATCTCTTAATGACCTGTGTAATATGACATTAATATTTGATGTTCCCATTGATGATCTGCCATACTCCCTATAGCCGCCAGCAGCCAGGCCGGAGTGAGACAGAAGAGTATTCATCTGAGAGTGAGAGTGAAAGTGAGGATGAGGAGGAGCTGCAAATCATTCTGGAGGATCTTCAGAGACAGAATGAAGAGCTGGAGGTGAGTCATTGTACATGTTAGAGAAGGATATCCACTGCCACCTACTGACCATCAGTCTTATGTCTGCAGGGAGAACGGCATTATTCCAAGCATTTTGCATTTGTCAGTATGGTCCTTATGCTGTTTTTGTTTTTACCCAGCTCCAATGTAAGCTTGGTTCAGGTGTCCAAATATAAGAAGAGCCAGGTCCATATACTCACAAATGTTTGTTTCATTTCCTGCTTGTGGTCACTCTTCCTCCTTTACATGCTAAGTAGCATAGCCAAGAAAGTCTCAATCAGGGAAAGATAGATTGCCTGATATGATATAATAGGAACTTCTATCCCTTGTATACATTTTTCCAGTCAGTTGACAATAGATAGCCAGACACATTTTTTCCAAGCTTGTCAGGTTCTGGACTACAAATCAGTTGGTTGTCCATTGCAAAGAAAGGAAACAAAAATGTTAAGCAAATTATTTCACCAGCATCTTGTTTTACAGTTAAAAGTCAATCCACAGTTGTCCTTTATCCCACATTCAGAATATAGAGGGAAATGTAAAATCTGCCATTT